ATAAAGAGTACCTGTCACCTCCAAATGCTATCACACAGGGGATTATTATTCCCTGTGTGATAGCAATACAGTTAACTTTTTTTTAAAAATAGTTAAAAAGAAAAAAGTAAAAAATATTAAATAAAAATGTAAAAAATAAAAAAAGGCGATAAAGTAAAAATAATAAAAACAAATTAAATTTTTTTACAAAGTAAATAAAAATAGAAAAAATTAAAACCAGCCCCACTGCCCCCATCTGCACGCGAATAAACGCGCAGTGTTTTCAACTGCAATCGTGTGCAACCGCACGGGCAGGACGGTATTGCAGCAGGAAAACGTGCAATCTGCCTGGACTCCTGCTGCGTTCTCCTGCTGCAATACCGCCGCAGGCGATCACGGTTGAAAACACTGAGCGGTGCATGTCGTGAAAATAGGTACAGCTACCTTTTTTTCAGCGATTGCCACGCAGATGTAACCCCATACATGCGGATGCAACCGCTGTATGCAACCGCACACGATCGCACGTCCTGGGAATCCCAAAGTCTGCACCAACCCTAAAAGGGTAAATTCACTTTCCCAAGCACAAATCTCCCTCCCACTATACTTACCTTTCAGCAAAAGGTCCTTCCCTTCCACCAGTACGGGTGTACTATCTGTACTTGTTCCATGTATTCTGAATTTCGCTCGCAAATTGCAGGCAATCGTTGGTCAACGCGGTCACCTGACGGCACTGACCAATGAGAAGCGCTTCTAAATTAGCAATTCTAAATGCAGTTTTGGTTAGAATTATTTTTTTTGTATCAGGACAAGTAGATTGTCATGAGGGACAAGTAGATTCGGCCCCCGCTTTTAGTCCTTGGACAAGTAGTTTTTTCCAAATTTTCCACACCCCTGCAATACCTGAACAATGCCTGGATCCAATCAGATTATTCAGGTATTTTGACAGCCAGCGGGGCCGACAAGCAAGATACTGAAGCTTGGCGCAGTGGGAGATCCCTCCATCCACACAGTTTAGCGTAGATGGAGGAATCTGTTGCACTTTTTCCAACCATAGAAAATCTGCAGATAATCTATAGCTGCATGGCCAGCTTTAGAATGAAATTACTTAGCAAAGTCCCGAGTGTTATGGTTCCAGCAGTGTCCAGTCAATGAAGCAGAAAATTAATCTGGGATTGGCTCTCTCAAAATAAGACTTTTGCAAAATGTTCTTTTGTGACATGATCTGTAGTCTTGTCAGCTTCAACAACCCAGGTCAAAGGGCAGTTCCCACAGGGTTCACTTACTAACATCACATAAGCGCAACCGTATGATATGCTTTTTATATAGCAGGGCAGGACAAACCTGTACTTCAATTGACTTAAATACCTGCCTCCAATCACTCATCCTGATGTCAGTATCCTAAAAGTTCCCATACTTTAATTAGTAACCTCATTCACACCATATATTGAAGGTTAAATCACGTATTTGAAACAATACCTGTAGCAACGATGTGCACAGAGTCATAAAGCTTTTTCTTTTAACTAAATATTGACCGTGGTGGAGAAATAACCACAAAAAACAGGAACAAGGACAGAGTAGGAATTTGCTTATTTGCACACAGACCTGGATGAAAACCGGTGTTACCTAAAAAGGTACATCTGCTGTCTGCTATCAAAGTGAGAATACGTTTGCTTCCGCTGCTTATCTGTCTTCTATAATGGCTAACTGAATGAATGAAAAGCAGATCGATTGACTCCAGTATATTGAAGCACTGACCTGGACCACACATAAGGATCAGGAGTGCAGGCCAAGTCCATAACTATGCCCCCAAATTACTTGTACAGATTTCATTTAACCCTTTCACTGCACAAGACATTTAGTCGTTTTTTTTTTAATGCCCGAGTATTACTTAAAGTGACATTAACCTCCCTGGCGGTATTCCCGAGTCTGGCTCAGGGTTAATTTTCAATACCAGGAGCGGTAACCCCGAGCCAGACTCAGGAATGCACAGAAAAGTGTCACTTACCTTGTCCCTGCGAGCCCGCGGCGTCCTCTGCTGTACACGGCTGGCCAATGATAATCCCCCCTATGCTGCTGCAAGCACCTTATTTGATGCCTCTTGAAGCGATCATCCTCTTCCTTCCACTCATTTCCAACAGGTCCTCCAGCGCTGGTGCCAGTCTCTGATCCACCGCAGACTCCTAGTGTCCCACGGTGTCTGTCCGACGTGCGCACTCCCGGCTGCGTCCATTGAGTTTCAATGTCTCTTTTCGCCCCCAACCTCTACTACGCATGCGCCTGCACACTTCCACCTTCACAGCCGTTCAGGAGCCGGGAGTTCTTCAGCCAGGAGTGAGCAGCACTGGAACAGGTAAGTAACTAGGTATTTGCCTACTTTTTGGGGCATATATCTCCTGCTTTCTGGCAGGAGATATATATATGGCAAAAAAGAAAGCCTTTAATTCTACTTTAAAGAAAAATAATGGGTAGAAACAATTTTAACTTCTTAACTCTTGCAGTGGGGCTACCCCTGCACAGTGTATAGGACATGAAGATGTCAAGGGGTCATTGCTGGTGTGGAGATGGGGAGAGAGGCAGCAGGGACTGATCTAGCCACCAGCTGTCTCTGAGGTTCAATTAAGTTTATCTTTGTTATTTCCATCCCTAGAAGAAAACAAGCACTTAACCCTTGCAGTGTAGGAGTAGCCCCATTGCAAGGGTTAAGATTATTTATGCCCCTTTTTAACCCCCAGCCCAAAAAATTAAAATAAAAATTTCAGAAAGCAGCGACCCTTGTAGAATAAAATGGTGGGAGTGGCATTTTTTTTAATTTCACATTATATTAAAAGGTAACTTTTTTTTTTAATCCATATTTGCAGTAAAGAATAAAAAAACTAATTTTACACAAACACTATACTGTACACAAATTTTTAGTTAACAGTGAATGACCACCCTAGAATTATTGCCGTCACTCCGGCATGCATGGAGATACCAAATATGAGTGCCGCCATTGTTTTTTTTCTACACAGGCACACCCAACATGCTCGAACATATTCATATGTGCATGCACGTGGGGGTGGCTTTAAAGTAATTTTTTGGGGGTGTTTAGTTAGTTAAATTTTTTCAAACAAAAAATTTTAAAAAATGTATTTTACTTAACTTGCTATCACAAGAGAGCCGACGAGCCCCTAATGTGAAAACAGGGAGGGCTCCTCTTTGAGACACCAGGGTAGTTAAGACCCCTAATGTAGCTTCTGCACCTTAACTAAGCGTGTATTTCAAGACCAACATTTTTTTTTTTTCGAACCTTTTCTAAAATTTTTATTTTATTTTTTATAAACTTTTAATTTTTTTAATATTTTATATTTGTATCTATTTTTTATTTTTTTTACTGTTTAGGGGCTTCTGGGAATATTAGGGATCTAAAACAGACCCCTGCTATTTCCCATTTTAAAATAGAAAAAAAGAGATTGAGGCCCTTAATCTCTTTTTCTGCAGCCCCCATTATAAATGAACAGGAATCCTCTATACTGAGTGTTCCTGTTCATTCATAACTTGTGGAGATAGTATGTTTACCATGTGCACATTTATGAATGAACAGGAGGTGATGTAGATCACTCCCATTCGTTCATAATAGAGGACACAGTAAACATACTCTGGGGACATGAATTCATGAATTCTTGTATCGGGGCCCTGAGGTCATTAGTTACGCCACTGATCCCTAGTCACCATATTTTCCTTCCATGGAAAAGCTTGTAGTCTTTTGCCAATATTTTACCCGGAGTTTTTTTATGTGGCATGTCTGAAGCTAATGAAAGATAAAAGTTTTCATATTCTCAGACCGTTCTAAACATTCCATGCAGCGCCAAATCAACATGACTGGCACTCTCCCCATCAACCTCACAAATTAGATCATCTTCAGTCAAATGTCAAGCACCTACTTGATGTTCAGACCAGTTGCTTGTTCCAGGTTTTCCCAGCTCTTCAACTTCTTCAAAGTTTTCTACAAGAAATTAAAAAAAACATTAGACACATTCTAAATACAAAGTGTTTTAGTAGAAAGGAATTCAGCAAATATGAAAGGAACATTATTTTATTTCGAATCTTATTGTGGCCTAGAAGTGCTTATTCACACAGCCCAGTCCTAATCTTTTAAGATTATACTGATTTCATGTAGTGTATCAGTTTCCAATGACAATAAACCAAAGAATGCCACCAGTACTGTCAATAGGGGGGTGCAGCCGCAACCCAGGTGACACCAAAATGACAGTCATTTTGGTGTTAACCCCCTCTGCAAAGTCACGCACTGGGTCATAAACCGAGAGCCCGACAGTTGCAAGAGAGAGGAGGGGACTATATCTTATCCTGCCAGGTGAACGTCCCCTCCTATCTCAGCCGGTGTCCATCATCAAGTTGGCCACCGACAGGTAACAGTGTGTGATGTCATCATGTGCATGCGTGAGGCCATCACAGCAGAGTGTCCCCCGGTGGTCGCTCCGGGTGACACCACGCCTGGGGACGCCCCTGAATGCCCCCCAACCCAAAATAGGCAGCCCAATCGTTAACCCCTTCCCATCTGCTGGCTGTTATGCAAACCCACTAGCTTTAATGCCTTCAGACGCTGACCTGGTAAAAGTATGCAGAAAAGGAAGTCCTTATCTGCGTGTTTGCTCCGAGTCACAATCAGGTCCGGTGAAATGGATCTCTGATACGTTTGTTTTTCCAAAACTGGCCAGAGTCGGGGGTAAATGCCCATCAGTTTACACCCGGCTGCCCATAAAACTAGCATTGGGCATTCGATTGGGTCTGCTTGAAAAGCAGACAGGGCGACCCGATCAGACCGCCCATGTGAAAGGTAACCTCTGCTGGACCCCATGTTGGTCTATGGAGAGACCGATGTAAACGGACATGTGTACATTTATCTCTCATTACCCCCATTCAGGCACAATCAGGTCTATTGAAATGAATCTCTGATCCGATTGTTTTTCCATACCTGCAAACCTGGCCGGAGTCGGGGGGG